GAACAAGTTTCTCATGTTACCATATCAACTGATGAACGATGCAAAAAAGAGTCAATTTGAAATGACATTTACATTCTGAGTGTAGAGGCAAAGGAGTATCAATACAACTTTGGAATGTGTCTTCATAAAAGCATAGAAGGAAAGTTCAAACCCAAAGTACTATTGGACTGGGTCAAGTTGAACATTGCGTTAGGAGCAGAGTTCATGCAACTGTATTTACAGGGTGGAGCAGAAGGAGTGTATGACATATTACTGCCCTACATTAATAGAGGGATTGCTGAAGTACTGGACTGTAAGTTAGGGCCAGGAATCACTGATCGACCATCGTATCATTTTGGACAGACTGGTGTAATCGTTGAGTGCTTATGGCGCAACATTTATAGAACAAGATACCGTATAGCTTGAAATTTTGGAGGGAATTAAATTTGGTGAATTTGGCATTTTGATAGCCATTCGCCAAAATAAAATCCGCCATTTTGAGCCTTTATATGCATGCTCAATGGCACATGGCCACTAATTCGCCAAATTAAAATCCGCCAATAACCAAAATTTAGCAATTCACCAAATTTTACTCCCTCCAAAATTTCCCGCTATACGGTACCTTGGCCTAAATGATGTTGATGAGTTCCTTGTTCCTCAGAAGCACAAGACATTACCAGAGATGATACTACTTGTAGAAACATTACATAAATCAAAGAAACCAGTAGCATCATTTGTATTCACTAATACCCTAATGAAAGACAGTGGATCACTTCTTCCAGTAGTTGAAAAAGCTCTACAATCTGGTAGCTGCTCTGAAATAGATCGTGACACATTATCTGTGTACTTCAAAAGGACCAAGAACTGTCTTTGTTTTAGTGCTAATACAAAGAAAATGATCCTAAAACCAGATGCTGTGTACATACCATGGGTACACTTTTTATTCACTTATAGATCAAAGCATTGCAAAAAGGAGTTCTCAGTTCCAGATGATGTGGATTATCATATCATTACAGGCCGAACTGGAAAAAGTATTCAAGCTGCAATACTCCAGTCATTGAGAATAGGTCAATTGAGAAGTATTTTAAGAACATTACTAATTGCTCATAATTATGCTTCTATGTATATTTGCACTAATTAAAGTTAAAAGCTTTTATAATACTTTATAATTGTCATCGGCTGCTGCTTCTAGTGCTTAGCAGTATACACAGTCTTTATTTTGTAGCCTGTTGCTAGAATATAATTGATTATTTAATATATATCTTATTATTGTACTGGTAATTTATTACTGCTCTAACTATGACCTTTGACATTTCCATTAGGTACATTTTGAACTCATTTTGATCAAAATTGAATTTGTTACAAATTTTTAAAGTTACTCAAAAATCATACCAAAGTTCCTGTATAGTACAGCATGTTTGGCCATGTTTTGCCAGAAATGAAATGGGAAAATTTTCCATTTTTATAATAATTTTTGATGCATATACATGTACTTATGTTGCATAGAAAGTTTGAGCTGATTCCAATCAAATTGAACTTTTAATGAATTTTAAAGGTGCTTCAAATGCAATGTACACTTGTCAGCTCATGAAGCATGCTGTTTAGCTCGCTTAGCATGCTTTGTGGGAAACCCTATTAACACATGTTTATGTTCAAATTTTATGATTATAATTTTTGTAAGTAGCTAAAATATCAAACTCAAAATTATAATTGTTTTACTTCCTCAGCAACATCTTGTATTTCTTCTGCTTCAAGTGCTTCTATTAATTTTTGTTTTGTAGCAGTTCCGGTTTTTATCCAAAGATTAATCATGTCCTTTTGGCAGTCTTGTACTCGGTTTTCCACTTGGTGATGATGATTATACCTTATTTCTTCTAGCTTGTGCTGTTCTAGAATATTATTGATTATTTTATTGTAACTTATTACTGCTCTAGCTATGCCCTTCGACACTTCCATTGAGTATACAGAATACATGTACTGTGCATTTTGAACTCATTTTGATAAAATTTAATTTGTTACAAATTTTTAAAGTTACTCAAAACTCATACCAAAGTTCCTGTGCTATAGTACAGGGTGTTTGGCCAAAAATGAAATAGTGAGAATTTTCCATTTTTATAATTTTTGATGCATTTGCATGTACTTATGTTGCTTATAATGTTTTGCTTATTGCAATCAAAATAACGGTGCTCCAAATACCATGTACTGTTACAGTACTGTAGTGCTTGTCTGCTCATGAAGCCCCATACTTTTTAGCTCACTTACAGCATGCTTTATGGGAAACCTTATTAACACATACTATTAATGCTCAAATTTTATGATGATAAATTTTGTATGTAGCTAAACTATGAGATTAAAATTGTAATTATTTTAATTCATCAGCATCTTCTTGTAATCCTTCTGCTTCAAGTGCTTCTATTAATCTTTGTTTTGTAGCAGTTCCAGTCTTTATCCAAAGATTAACCATATCCTTTCGGCAGTCTTGTACTTGGTTTTCCACTTGGTAACGACGATTATACTCTATTGCTTCTAGTTCGTGCTTTTCTATACCTAACTGTATCCCTATTCTCTTCCATTGAGACACTACCTTCCTAAGAGCTTCAAGTATTAAAGGTTTATGGCTTTCATCTATATAATTATAATAAAAGACAAGTACCATAATACATATGCATTCACTTACTCAGTATTGTAGTTCCTCCTGGTAATCTATCACCATTTGATGTCACTGTAGGAGTAGCCACTGAATCTATCAATGATAAATTATAAAATTTAATTGCCAACACTACACAGCAAGACAACTTAAGTTAGTAGAGGAAAACTGCATGTGGATCCATATTGGATCTTAAGTGTTTGATGCATAATTTGGAAACACCAAGTAACAAGACATCAGTACTATACCTGAATTCTTAAACCAGCACAAGTATCTGTCATCATTAAAAGGTTTACAATAACTATGACCCTTTGCATCAGGGCACTCCATTGGTTCACCCTCTTCATCCACAATACAATTACCATCTTCTAGACAAGCGAATGCAGTGCATAGCTCACCACATGACACATTGATTGCTGCAACGCTCTCCTTGACAGCAACTTTAACCAATTCCAGAAGAGCAGGACAGTATCCTTGAGACCCAATATATGTGATTTCAAGATACTTGTTGCGATTAACGATATAAAATTTTTCTTTTCTTGGAGGTAGAAAGGAAACCAATAGTGTGACTGCATTACGGTACTGCTGGGACTGGCTACTAAGTATCACTTTATATCTTTTCTGTTTGAGCAAGTGGACAATCATTAGATGGAAGCTTCCTCGAGGAACACAGACAGTAACTGTTGACTCCCATCGGGAAATTTCTTTTCTCCACAAAAGACGAAGTGGCTTTATTGTTGATACAGGAATTTCAAAAGTGCTGGTTTCATAGGGCGGTAGAGCGCAAGGAAGAAAATATGTTTGCTCCCCTGTTGTTGCATCTTTTGGCAATTCGGCAATAATGTGAAGATGGTTTAGCAGATTAATGAAGTATTTTGGTGTAAACTCTCCAGTAAACTTGTCTAACTTTTCCAGGAGAGTCTCCCTGAATTTTCCGTGACGAGCAATATCAGTTGTTTCTTTTGACGTGACAGACTCAGCAAGGAGTCGCACTAGCTTGTCTTTTCTATATTTGAGTACCAGTAGATGTGAAAGAACATCGATAATGACCTGAGGTTTGAGAAATACTAATTGTGGCTCAACCTCAGGGTAGTAAAGGATGATAGTGCAATTGTGGAGATATTTTAAAGCTCTTTCAACATCAATGCCAGTCATGTTAAGCCTCTCGCCTTCTGCAATGGCTTCCTCTTTTGAAATGAATCCTCTCAATTCTGCTTTCTTCTCTAACTGAAGCTCCAGAGCAAACCATCGAATTGGAACTTCAATTGTAAAGGAAACTTCCCCACGTTTTGATATAGCATTTGAGAGCTCCTTACTAGCTTTCTTTCTCTCTGCACCTTCCAGCAGTGTGTTGAATGGGAATATGACACAATCATTTTGTTCGTCACAAATAACAAACTCTTCTATGAAGCTAGATGGAAATGAAGATGCGAGCCTTTCATTCATTTCTTTCAACTTACACTCGTGCTCAATTTCATCCTTGTACTTTTCTTTAAAAACATCAAAATGGGTACCCAATATGAAAAACATTGAGTGGTTTGGGTGATCTGCTACGCTAACAAGCGGGTTTTGATAGATGGCCCCAGAAGAAACGGCAGACTTAAAAACTTCAAGATTTGTATGAACTGGCTCTTGATCATAACTAAACGCTTCACCCTTAATGCGATACTCAATAGTGATTTCATCTTCCAGATCTTTAGAGATATCTAGAGTGATTAGGGTGAGAGATGCTGCTCTTGTAAACAATGGTAAGAGCTCTTGGAATGCTGGCTGACCACCGGAATCAATGATATACACCCACTCACGGCTTAACTTGGTGGCTTTTGCTTTGGTAATGAGATTAGAAATATTTTCAAGAATGTCGGATTCTTCTAGCGATGCTTTAAACTTCTTTTGTGGTGATTCAGAAAAAGAGTCTTGTCTCATTTCGCTGTTGTCTTCAATGCCTCTCACATCTTCATTCCTTCTTAGATCACTTATTCCAGTGCTTCCAGTGTTAGCAGCTTCTTCACTGTTACTTATAGCCACCCTCTCCTCATCTGGTGTAGCTCTAGACTCTTGTGGTTGCAGAGAATAGTCAACTTCTTCAGTCTCCTTTTCCTGGAGATCTGCTAGAGCCTTTTCCACCACTTTCTTTAAATCAGCTGCTAATTTCCCGAGTAGATCATCACTTTGAACTCTCTGCAAGCCCTCATCATCAATAGATATTCTTAAAGCTTTGACAGCTTTACAAGCTATTGGTGTGCTCTCAGTAGTAGGACTAGACTCAGCAATGCGTGCTGAAACCTGGCTAGTTGAAGGATTGCTAGCTGGTACATAGTATGGTGGGTCTTCATTTAGCAAAAGATGTTGTGCACAAGTTTTACCAGAGCCTGGATGACCCAGCATTTGGACTCGTGTTAGTTTTAGCTCTACAGAACCTTCACTGCACCATTTATCTACAAAGACATATACCGTAATACTACCACAACTACAAAAATATCATGTTAAGACTTGATACAAATGAAGTTTCATTTAAAACGGAACTTACCAATGTATTTTTTATTCAGCTCAAATTCATACTGGTCCAAAGGAACTGCACCAACACGTAACTCATCATTACTATATTCTATAAAAAAGATGGCATATGATAAGTAGCAATACTATTGTCGGTTATTATAATCTCTTTTTAAACACTGATTACTGATAGCTGGAAAATTTGGCGGTCTAAAACTTGGCGGTTTTGCATCAAAACTGCCTAAATATAATATTGGTGGTCATTTCATTTGGCGGTTTACTATCTTGTCTTTTCTTTAAGCACACTCAGCTCTTCTTAAAGCTGCTCCTTGCCAGTCCTTGCCCACAGTCTTGACTCTGTGACTGAAATAGTGAGAAATACTGCCATTTTTTTGGTATAATGAACCCACCCATAATAATTGCAATTATTATTGGCGGTTATAATATTGGCGGTTTTATTTTGAACCGCCAATCCGCCAAATTTAATTCTCCGCCAAATTTTCCGGCTATACGGTATTTGCACAAAACAAATCACAAAAACTTTTTAACCAACCAATTTCAAGGACATTAGTGTCCTTAAGTATTGACCATGGCTGTCCCCCTCCAATCCCTCCATACACGACTACCCAGCTAATAGATGGAGTCACGTTATAAACTGACATAGAATAATCATATCTTTCGGTGATATCATCTTCTAGTGTATCCTATATTATAGAAGAACAAGAATATGCATTATGTCTAGATTGCTATGTCTATGTTAACTACTGTAGCAGTGACCACAGTACATGATATTTCTAATTAAAGTTTGGTGATAATACCGTATACCAGGAAATTTTGGAGGGACTAAAATTTGGCGAATTACTAAATTTTGGTGATTGGCAAATTTGTGGCCACATGCCATTGAGCATACGTATAATAGTTCAAAATGGCGGATTTTTATTTTGGCAAATGGCTATCAAAACGCCAAATTTGCCAAATTTAATTCCCTCAAAAATTTCCCGCTATACAGTAACCTTTTCATTATATTAAATACTTTTGTACTTTAAAAATATTTCTCTATAGCCACAATCAATTTATGTGCACTTACCAATTGCTTCCATGATCTTCTATTTATGTCCAGAATCCAGCAGTCACTCATATCCATTCCACCCATAACCAGTAACAGTGGACCTGATGATCCGTTATCAATGAGGACACTGGAATGATTGTCTCTTTCAGTAGGCCATGGGTCAGATCCACCAGGATTGGGAATTTCTCTTATTTCCTAAAAATTACAATTCGTATTGATTTAACAATAAGGTGTATAGCTAGTGTATAAGCTATGTCTTTTAGTGGCTAAACTAGCTGGTTTATATTAATCAAATAGTATAGACTCATAATCAGTTGTGTGGGCGATTTGACAAATTAGTTAATTTTGTGGCAGCTTATACAACTGTACCATATAAGCAGCTATTAAATATTACTCTCAAACTCACCACTTCTGATTCCTTAAACTTTAAAGTATAAAGTCTGTTGCTTGGGCCATCAGGAGTGATACCTCCAAACAATATGGCACTGTCAGCAGTCACTGGAGTCAGAGTGAACTTACTAATAGGAGGTAGCCTGTCTCCAGTAACAGTTGGGGAGAGCCATTGTCCTAAAGATTATATCCAGCATAATTTTAAGCAAGCAATAATAATCATAAATGGATAATATCTATCATAAGCCCTCATCATAGGCGGTTGCAGGCCTGGGCGGGCATTAGAGGGCAATGCCCAGGTTGATTTTTTGACCAATAATTATATTCATGATTCTGGTGTGGGCATCCAGTGTAAACTGTGGTAGTTTAACAGGCTTCTTTGTTGTTTTATGCTAAGAAACCATCTCAATGAAGTTATAGATCAGTATTGTCCATTTTTCCTTGCAAAATTGTATGGAACCACACCCACTAATTATTGATGCCCAGGTCAAACCAAATTTCTGCAACCGCCCATGGCCCTCATTGTGTGAACTTATAAGGCATACAGTTTACATAACTGAATACTGCTACTCATGCATGTATAAAAACATTTCCTAGAATAAATCTATTCTATACATGCATCTATATTGTATGCATGAAGCAATACAATACACACATGCAACACCTGTCATGAATATTTTATGTTAACAATATTAAATTTACTTTTATTCAGAGAATAATAATGAATCTCATTGCAGTATTGATAGCTATCATCAGCTTCATCCCTGCTATACATAGCACCTACTTGCACTGGAGTATTATCATTGACAGGACCATATCCACCCACTACTGCAAGACAGCTGCCATCTCCTTTCTTAAACTCTAATGCAAGCATTGCTCCACATCTCTTTTGCATAGGCCCTGAAGTAGAAGAAGTTCTTGCAACTTCTTTCCATTTGAGAGTATTGACATCTAAACTATGCAAGCTATTGTGATGGCAATTGTCATGATTGCAAGCTCCTCCAAAATAGAATATTTCGTTCTCAATACAAGCTGATGCATAGCCCCGTACTCCTAGTGGAGGGTTGTTGCTGGTTGATTTTTGCTCCCATTTTCCGGTTGGTAGGTTGAACTTTTCAACAACTGATGTGATCTCTCTCTTTCGGTCGCTCCCGTGTTCGTACGTGAGGCTTCTTTGATATCCTCCCCACATGTAAAGGTTGTCCCCTACCCTCACTGTTGAGTGATTGTCTCTTTCTGATGGCTGAAACTCTGAGAGAAACAACAGATAAAAATTTACTAATTGTAGAATGTAGACTACTCAAGCATGCACATTTAAATTGGCTAAAATTGCAATTTTAGATCTAATATCTAATTGATCTCTCTACCTTCCTCTTCTGTTGTTGACATTCCTAAAAGAACAGTCTTAAGCAGGATCTACTAAACTTCTTCTATCTTCTGTGTTCAATCTGCTGTCTCGCTGCTGTCTTCTGTGTAGGGGGGTGAGCCTATTATGCCAGCATAATTTGAAGAATAATAGGGGCTTCCTCACATGAGGCATAATGCTGGAATAATTGGGTGGAAATAGGAATAATAGTGGAATAATAGGTGGAGTTGAGGTTAATGGTAATTGCAGAAGAAAATTTTTTGAAATTTTGGCTAGCACCTTTTGGAAGACCTATTTTGAAAACACTACTAGAATGCAAAAATTGATTGCTCGAGAAAATTATTGAGAATAATAACTGAGAATAATAGGATAAAATGAAAGGAATAATGGGGGGAAATATTGAAAACTTCCAGAAAGAATAATGGGAAAATTTATGAGCATAATAGGCTCAGGCCTATTCTCAGCTCAGCTAGCTAGTCTAGTAGCTAGCGATAGATAGGGAGGAGCTGTTAACACCTACAACAGCGTGTATAAACATGGATGCTGTCCGTGTTCGTTTTGCTCCAAGTCCAACTGGGAACTTGCATTTAGGAGGACTCAGAACTGCTCTCTATAACTATCTGTTTGCTGCCTCTAATGGCGGGCTTGGAGGCAATAATAAGAAGGGGAGATTAATCATGAGAATTGAAGACACAGATCAAGTTAGAATTTAGAAATTTTTTATTTGTAATTTTATTTTTGTTGGTTTTTAAAGGAAAGGACGGTACCAGGGGCTGTTGATAGAATGATGAAGACGTTTAATTGGTTAGGAATTGCTTTTGACGAGGGGCCAGATGTGGGTGGAGAATTTGGACCATATACTCAAGTATTATAAGTATTATTATTATTATTATTATTATTTTGATTAATATACATTATTAATCGTAATTATTTTATTTTTATAGTCACAAAGACTGCAACATTATCGACAATATGCTCAGGAGTTAATCAATGTAAGATTATTGTTACTCTAATTATTTTTTATCCTCATTTTATTGCTGTTACTACTGCTTCATAATCAGGCCAAAGAGTTTCAGCTATAGTACAGGATATTTCATCATAAATGACTAGGAGAGAATTTTTCATTTTTATTGCATTTTTGGGTGAATATACATGTACATGTCCTTATACTGTGTAGAAATTTTGAGCCGATTACGGTCACAATTGAATTTTTTATGAATTTTTAAAGTTGCTCCAAAATCAGGCCAAAGTCCCTGTACTATAGCACAGGAATTTTGGCCAAATTTTTTCAAAAATAAAAAGTGGATTATTCATTACGACAATTGTCCCCGTACATTTACATGTTCTTTTATTGTGTAAAAAGTTTGAGCTAATTTTGATCAAAATTAGATTTTTATGAATTTTTAAAGTTACCCAAAGATAATAAGTATAAAATTTTCCCCTTCGTGGTTATGCTTTTAAAAAAATTGTCAAAAATTCTTTTTTATTAATAGAGAGATGCTTCCTATTACTGTTTCTGTAGCAAGGAGAGACTGGAGCTACTGAGGAAGACTAATGGAGGGTATGACGGGTTGTGTAGGACTTTATCTCAACGT